GTTGGGGGGTGGGGGGGTGGGGGGGGGGGGGTGGGGGGGGGGGGGGGGTTTGTTACTTTTTTTTTTTTGCCTGTCTCTTTTGTTTACTTTCCATTACGCACACACTTTACATGCGTCTCCATTCTGATATCTCATTCCTCTTTTATGAGGTGAGCTTGACAAAATGGATTCCCAGTAGCATGCTGTCTGTTCCGAACACTAAGCTCAACGAACAAGGAGAGTGACGTAGGTTAAGCTTGAGCTCTAAATTAAAAACGTACTTTATAGGAGAAAAAAAACAAAACTGAGAAAGCAGTAGAAAAGCACTGTAAAATGGGGCTAATCTCTCTTCATAGACACACACGTGGAGTTGGTGGTCCCACGCTCCCAGCACTTAGCCCCATCTCTTTGTGGTTTGCACCTTGTGGTTGGCCCTGCTGTTAACCATTTAACGTGCTCCCTGGGAGAGCAGAAGCGAGTGAAAGAATCGACGGAGAGGCAGAACGAGAGAAAGAGTAGCAGCATGAACAGGATTTTATGGGGATTACATTAAACCTGCCATTTATCCAGAGGGCTTTGTTCCAAATTCACACAGAACAGTGTCCATGGGAAGGGAGGGGGTGGTCAGTGCCAGCAGGGCAAGGGGGTCCCAACCCCTGCAAGCTTCTTGTTTTTTTCATCAGTTTTAGGGATCTAGCTAAGAATAATTAATAGGAGGAGATTAGTTGAAAAAGCTGTTTGTGTCTCAGACAAGTGGTATTTTTATTTGTGCCACATCTTACGTTTCTCAGTTCAATTGATTTTTTTTTTTCTTTGTTTTATGAGTAAGCAGTCATCTGGGAATTGGTACACCCATATGTTGACTAGGTGTCCCCTGATTGTTCTTGAGGAAGTGAGAGTATCTTGCGTGCTTTGTGCAACACTGCCCAGCATTTTATCTCTCGATTTGTTTTCATTTTTATTGGTTGGAGGAGGGCAGCACATACTTTATGTTTTACTCACCAATTTCAATGTATTTAATCAAGATTTTGTGTGATTGATCAACACACGGTTGTGCATTATTGTGAAATCTGAAAAGTGAGGCCTTTCGTAGGTTTTCATCAGTTTATTGTATGTCTCTAGTCTACTAGGTTCGCTCATTATAGAATGACATTTTGCTCATTTTTGTTTGCAAAAATTGCTTAATCCAGTCAGATTAAATGGAGGACATCTCTAAACATTCGATTTCAAGTCTTTCCATGGATTCATTATTGTATTTAAGCATGTATGTGGCATTCTGATATTCATGATGCATTGACATATTGGGGTCATTGTCCTGCGGGAAGGTGAACCTTCACCCCAGTTTCAAGTTTCTAGCATCCTCGACCAAGTTTTCTTCTAATACCACCCGGTATTTAGATCCATCCCCCGTCTTTTCTGTATTGACCAGTTTACCTGATCCCTCGCTGAAGAAAAACATGCCTACACAGGATCCTGTTGTCCCGTTTTTTTATGATAGTGATTGTTTGGTCAGGAGGATGTGTGATTAGTTTTAGTCTCATCTGACAAGATCACCTTCTTACATGTTTACTGTTTCCTCTAAGTGGCTCGTTGCAAATTTCCGATGGCTTTTGTTAAACAATAACTTTTTTTCTTTCCACTCTTCCGTGGAATCCAGATGTATTTGAGTCACAGCCAATGGTTCTCCTATCAACATATTTGTCTGCCTGAACTTTGAATCACTGCAGTTCCTCCAGACCCAACATGAGCCTCTTGACAGCGTTGCATATCGATGATTTCCTCTCCTTTCCCATCCTGTCAGTTCAGGTCAACGGGCTTGTATTGGTATGCTTACAGAGGTGTCATACTCATATTCCATTATCAGATGGCGGATTAAACAGAGCTATTTTATAGACTAGCCTCCCTTTAATCTTCTCCACAACATCATTCCTGACCTTTCTGGTTGGTTCGTTGGTCTTTATGAGTTACATGTTCACTAGTGTTCTCTAGACCTTTGACCTTTGAGGTCTTCACAGAACAGCTTTAATTATATTGAGGTGAAATTACACACAGGTGGACTTTGAAAGCAATTGGTTACAGTTTTGTTCATGGGTGTCATTGTCGAGGGGATTGAATACAAATGTGCATAGCAGCTTTTTAAAAAGTATTTTCAGTTCAAAAATAAAGAAGAAAGAAAACCATGAACATTTTTCCCTTCATTTCACAATTATGGACTACCTTGTGCTGGTATAACATAAAATTGGAAAGAAGGATTTTTATTTGAGAAAAATAGTAAATTGATAAATGTCTATTAAGGGTTTCGCAATGTGTTTAATTTATGCAAACAGGTAGCAGTAAACCAGTCCTCAATTTAAGATCTTAACTGCAAATCTCGCTGGCTTATGAAGTATAAACAGGCTGTTGCTGTAGATTTACAGTCCCATTAAAAAGGATTATAGTATAAGGCATTGATATTCCAAACACTTTTAACAGAAGCCTCCCAAAATATTACATTCCCCACGCCTCAGCAACCTCCCTCAACAGTGTGCTTATATCCGCCCCTGCCGAATTTCCAGAAATCTCCTCTGATTACATAAAGGCACGTGTTTAAAGAGCATAAGCTCAAATGCTGTAATTCCTTGGGGTGTGCATGGATGTCCAGGAATGTCAACTATTTCATCTTGTTGTTATGTTTGATGCATGGTGCAATAAACTCTGCTTGCACGATTACAACAGGCTTTCTTGATTCATCCCCTCTTCCTTTAAGAAATAGACTCTTTGGAAATCTGGTTGCAAAGTGAAAAGTGTTTTTGTTTAGAGACTCCTGAATGGTCAGACAGAGTCGTCAACACTATGTTGGTCCAAAAATAGTTAATGCCAGGCTGGAACTGATCTGGCACAGAACAGAGCAGCACAAACACATTGCCTTTTAATGGCCTCCTTCAGCTGATAATTTAGCCAGCATGTTGAATCGCAGGAGGCCTTCCTGTGTGTCTGACCTGCTTTAGCCTTAACGTCTGGCTCTCTTTTTGACTCTTGTGAATTTCCTAACACTATGTTCTTTTTTCTGTCGTGTCTGTTTAAACATTCCATTCTAAGCCCTGATATTTGTTGATATTTTTCTATTTTTATGCCATTGCCCGCTCTTGGATACCCCTGCAGTGCCACTGCTGTTAATGTTGGTTGACAGGGAGCTCATTTCCCAGCATGCCATCAAGACTGTCCAGACTCTCCACAGTCCCTGTTTACACCTTGTTAATGTGAAACTGGCTGCCTCAAAGAGACAGAGAGGATGCAGTTCACAGCAGGATTCTGCTGCAATGAGACTCTTTCATCTCGTAATATGTGGATACAGTCCTTAAAGGCGACCCACAGATTTCCTTACTGTAGAACTGAAAAATGTCCCTTTTACACTTATTTATGTCCTACTATGTTCTTTGTTCATTATGGATGAATAGATTTTTAAATTTTGACTTTCTTTGATGTTTTGAGGTTGTCAGAGCAAATCTGTAGGTGGGAGCAGGTCCGGGTAAGCAGAGGGTTTACAAGGCACTCATCCCTTAAGCCAAAAGACAAAAGGGTTTGAGAAAGCAGCACATCTGGCAAGTGCTGGGGTTTTTTTTTCTCTTCATGAAGAATTGCAACCAATAAATCAAACTGCAGACAGAGTATTATTCAGGATCCTATATGAAAGGAGAGGCATGAGGGACAAAGTTGAAATTTTATAAATGTCACCTGAAATGAGGCGCCTGGTGGGAAACAGCATGACCACTGCCTACTGTTTGCAAACAAATCCTACCAAGTGGAAACCTTAGAAACATGCCCTTCCTATTAGTGCTGCCCCTTCTCTTTCCTATTACCTAATCTTTGTGGTTGAAAATCATCCAATTAAAATTTGCAGTGTTGTAATTTCCTGTCATTCACTTTGTGCTCCTTCTCCGCAGTCTTCTGTCAAATCCCCTGCATGAACGGAGGCCGATGCATTGGCAGGGACCTGTGTTGGTGCCCATCGAATTCAACGGGAAAGTTTTGCCACCTACCAGCACCGCCGCCTCCCAGACCCACTCCTCACAGCCGCAAGGATGCGAGCCACCAGGCAGCGAAATCACCTTCCCATTCCACCTACACTTTGCCACTCTCCAATCAGCATGGTAAACATACTTTCAAAAAGATGACATTGTGTTCTGTTTGAATTTATTTTAAGATGGACTTTAAAGAGATAGTTTTGAATCTTTTAAGCAAGAGTCTGTTTAAAGATTATGACCAGTTGATATGTAGTAGTAGACTAGTCTCTTGGCATCTCTGTTGAGTGTGATTACAGTTTATCTCAGAGGCTTTATTGTGAACTCTATGTAATGAACATTTAATCCAATATCACATCTGCATTGGTTGGTATTTAGAGATTATCTAATGGTTCTTTCCATGAACAGAAAATATAAAATATTTCTAGTCAAAGTAACTCTTGATAAATGGAGATAAGAAGCAAAACTTTGATAGCAGTTGAAGACAATTATATTTCTAACGCTACCTCACTTTTAATTAGAACAGTTAATCTGATTTAAAACACTTTCTTGTTTATAATTGTCCAGTTCAAATCAAATTGTGGCTAAAATAAAAAACTTTTCTTGGTGATTTTCACCAGCAGCACTGAGAGGAAAACTAACTGTAACATCAGGAAGCAACTGAGCGAGGTACTGTCAAATAGCTCAAAGGGAATTTGCTATTTCAGCGTAAAGAAAGTCAAGTCAAGAAATATCTTCTATTTTACATTTTCTAACAGATAAAGTCAACAAGATATTATAGCTGTATTTTTAAAAACTGTTTTAACTACTTTTATTGACAATTATAGCTCTTATTGAGGTTAAGAGCCATATAGTATCTAACTCTTGCTGTATTTTCTATTTTGTAAACATTTGTTACCTTAGAGCCATTCAACTTTTTGTGATGTCACTGCAAACGCCCAGCCACACAGGGCTATGGCATCTGGACCAGTCGCCTTCAGCCCAATGTCTGATCCAGGAATGACATCAGTCTGGGGTGCAATATAATATTGGATCAAATCGGTCGTATCTCGACTATCATCACTAAGTTTGACGCAAACACTTCTCTTTTAAATTCTCAGAGGGCTCATTTTTGATTTTCAGCACTGTGTACAATGTGGAGCTCTGCTTCTGTGGGACAGCTGTGGAGGCCAGGCTCTATTTTAAGCAAATGAACTAATGGATGACTCAGTGGAAGTCCTCACATAGTTTGGATAAGGCTTCTTTTATCATAACAGCAGTGGTTATCAGTAACAGAGCTGAGACATTGCGATCTTTTAAATATATAAATAAAGATTTGCTTCTTCACTATTCCCCCTTTGGAGTTAGGTGTTTATTTTTCTCCCCCATTTAATAATGTTATCTCTGTTGGTATCTGAATCTGCTGAACAGTAAATAGAAGCATATTAAGTTAATTAAGGAGACAAATGTCCATGTTGTTTTGTCACTGCACATAAATTTTCCATTTTGTGTGTGTGCGCTTATTCAAACAGAGGCAGAGGCTTGTTAGGGACGCTTGATAAAATCTGCGTCTTTTACTTGGACGTTGCACTCTGTCTAGAAGATTATGATTTATGAGAGTGGGTCAGGATTCTGGGAAAAAACCCTGGCACTCCCTGAAGATAGATGCTTCCCCTTCTGTCAGAAAGACAAAAGGGCTCGTTTTAGACATTGCAACATCTTCTAAGCTCTACAGTAAATCTGTTTTTGGTATTTAAATTGATTTGATTTAAACCAGAAAATCCCAAACTCTTTGTGTTCTCCTTGTTGCGTAGTTGTTCACTGCCAGAAATTGTCGGTCTACTCCAGATCTCATAATTTGCAGATGAAGCAAGTGTTTGTTGAACAAGTTTGTGGTCGATGTTAGCTGATAGCTCAAAAATTGGAGAATGTAAATACAAGTGGTATGCCTTGGATGTTTATGCTTCTACTTATAATATTGTACATCTTAAAATGTAAACTATCCAATGTTTTGTGTAAACTCTGGGAATCTCTGTCCCAAGTGTCTCTCCACCCGTCGCTGGTGAACGTCCACATACAACACCCGCCAGAGGCCGAGGTCCAGGTTCACCAAGTAGCTCGAGTCCAGCCTGGACAGAGACCAGCCACCACAGATGGGGCTCACTCTGTCCAGCAGCGCTCCCAGCCTGGAAACGGACACGAATACACGAGTGAACATAACGGCAGACTCGCACACGGCAATGGCCACTGGAATGGCCACGGTACAACTTCCATCCTCCAGAATGGACACGTTGGCAGATGCTTTCAGGAAACAGTAGATGGACAGGTATTATGTTAAGCCTTAAAAAGGCAGTGTTTAAACTGTCATCACTTGGTCATCTTGGAGCATTACCCTCATGTTGCAGAGGACAGTGGGGAAAGTTATTTTACTTTCAGATTTTTTTGCATTCTCTGAGATCTGTGGTATGAAAAAGACAGACAACCCATGAGAAGGATTTATTTTGGTTATCAATGTCTTATGTACACTGGCCAATAACTTGGTAGAGAGGAGACGGCTTGAACTGTGTCCTTCTCTTTCTTCTCTTTGGTCCTCCTTTGCATCCATGAAACCTTTGTTAGCTAAGAATGAGAAGAGCTAATGGTTGAGCAACCTTTTGCAAAAATGGAAATCATTTTGGTGGGAATTGTTACCATCAAACATGGCTAATGTTACAATTGAACAATTATTGAATTTTATGTTAACCATCTAATAAGCCAGGCTAAAAATTTACACAATTTTACTGGCTCATATTTAATCCCCTTCAAAATCTATTTTAAGGCTTACAATAAGAATAAAGTATGGAAATTGCAAATGTAACCCAGATAAGAAAAGTAGATGCATCACTATCACTATCTAATGTGATGGCTAGTATAGCATTTATTCACTTTGATGCACTTTGCTCTTTAGCTATGCAGTTGCAACAAAGTATTGGCCAACAATGAAGTTGTTTTTTGTTTGTTTTTTTTTCCTCCAGTATTAGATCTCATTTTCTCTAATTGGGTTTAATGGGAGCTTGAAATTGAACTTTCGAGTCATAATGTCAAAAAAGAAGCAGAATCTGGGCATAAAAGAAGCACAAGAAATCATTTGAATAAAGTTTTCCCCTCCTTTCTGCCAGAAAGAAATCATGTTTCCCAAAGGAAATCTTTCGTGTTACATCACAGGTATTAGCTAAAAATCTAATAAATACACTTTGGGAGTCTCTCTTCTCTCTCTCTCTCTTTTTTTTTTTTTTTTTTTTTTTTTTTTTTTTTTTTTTTTTTTTTTTTTTACCAAATACCTTAATGTGGCACACAAAGAGGTTCATAGATGGCTTATGTATCCAGTTCACTCTGAACTTGGAGAAATGTTTTCATCAAGCACATTCTGAATCAGCTACACATATAACCTTGCCAGTGCACAAACACGCAGGCATAAACAATCACGCATGCTCAGACATGTGATCCTATCAAACTTACTTCACAGATCTAACACAGCTGTATGTCATTGCAGTGTGGCAAACCTCTGCCAGGCCTAACCAAACAGGATGATTGCTGTGGAAGTGTGGGGGCGTCATGGGGTTTGAACAAGTGCCAAAAGTGCCCAACCAAACCAGGTAATCCTTCAGTTTAGAATCAGTCAGAATGACAGTGTTTTCATTTTTAGAGTTTGGTTATACAACATTTTAAAATCTGATGCGTAACCTGTTTTCTATACACTTTCTATACTCCTGTTTGTCTTGCTTGTTTCTCTAGTTTTCAGAAATTAACTAACAACTATTTTTAATAAACTTTTTGATGCCAATGTCCGTCCTTCATAAATTGTTTATCAAAACTCTTAATTTAATATAATATAATGACATATAAATTAGTTTAAGTCTCATAAATAAATTGACTTTGACTTTCCATTCAAATGTTTCATTCTAAGCTTGAACTTGTCCCTCAAGGACTAAAAACTTGTGTTGAGTTTGTAGTTCAAAGACTTGACACGTGACTTGGACAAGATTAGAAACCAGACTTGGACTTTCCACTAAAGATTGAAGAATTGACCCCTAATGGACTTGGTGTTACCCTTTAAAAACTGAGACGATTTGAACTTAGCCATCAAAGAATTGAGACTTTACTTGGACTTGGGCCTCAGAAACTGGAGACCTTACTTTGACTTGGCTTTTAAAGACTCATAACTTGACTTGGACTTGCCTCTTAAAAACCTGAGATTTAATTTGGATTTGTCCATTGAAGACTTGTGTTTTGAAATCAACCTGCTCTTCAAAGATGTGAGACAACTTGGAGTTACCCCTTCAGCACTTGGGAGTTAACTTTTAATTTTAGACTCTACTTGTATTTGCTCTTTAAAAATCAATTTTAAACTTTGATTTTGTCAAGTCTTAAGTCATAAGACTTAAGACTTGACCTGGACGCCACATTGAAATTTGAGTTGGTCTTCAGCCTGAACAGGCTGTAACTTGATTTTGACTTATTCTTGAAAGACTTGAGACTTAATTTGGACTTCGCCTCTTAGAGTTGAGATTTGACATGAACTTGCCCCACAAAATTATGAGTCTTAATTTGGACTTACCCTTTATATACTTTAGATTTGACTTGGACTTATACCTCGAAGACTTGAGACTCAAATTAACTTTGATGATCATAGATAGAAAACAATCTTTCTGAGAACGGTTTCTCACTCTTGCATCCAGGGGTTCAACTGAAATGGTTTTCACTTTCATAAAACCAAACCCTGGCTGCAAATAAAAACACATTTAGCATACTGATGAGGTCCTGGCAGGCACACCACCGATCTTGTGGGCAGAAAGATCCAGTGTGGCCTTTAACAGTGAGGAAATGAAGGACTCTCCAACTTGAGCTGTGGTAGGTTTGAGGAAAAGCAGCTGGGTGGCTGCATGCCGGCACACTGGGTGGGTGGCAACTCTGTCCACATTAAACGAGGGCTGGCCACTCGGTCTGACAGCTCCAAACGGCATTGGGATTCACTATTTGTCCTCGCACTGGAGATTCATTTGTCTTACAGTATTCTTAATCATATGGCAATGCCCACATATGCACCATGCCTGAACCGTGTTTGACTGGACCTTAATCAGAAGCAGATACACACTCTCTCAGTCTCCTCCATCAATAATAGTTGTCTATCCGTTCCTTCTTGGCTCCCCCTCAGCCTGCCTCAGTCCCGCTCTTTCTGTGTCTTCAGTGTGATCTCTTTTGGCTCCCAGATGTTTTCCTCTCCCTCTTCCTTTGATGTTTTGGGGGTGAAGAAAGAGTGAATACCCTGATTGCTCCTTTTTGTGGCTGTTTTTGGGGAGGTAACATGCTGTAGGCTCAAGGGTCACACACAGAAAGACACAAAAAGAATAAAGGGAATGTTAGAAAGGAAAAACTTAAGTCAAAATGAAGTCATGTACCGTGTCCCAAAGGCCTTAAAGGAAAATTCAACATGATAAATACTTTGAATTTCCTCTCAGTGTTATTGTTCTCAGTTTAGTGCTTGGATTTATTATTAAGCTCTAGTGCATTGTTCTCGGACCAATCAGGAATTGTGTAGTTTGGACACTAGAGCAGCCTCTGAAAAATGATCATATTCTTTTTTTTTTTTTTTTTTCACTCTGAATGTGTCAGCTGAGCTGTGAGCTTTTAGCATTGAGAGAAGTCTTATATCCTTATACAAGCCTCATGCATCTCCCATTGAGTATGTGATAATTATGCCATAAAAGCTCAGCTTGTGTCTAGGCGTGCAATGGTGCCATTGGCCGGTTTATTGCCAGTCGCAAAATGTACCACTGACTGAGGGCACATCATCTTTTTATATGCAAAGAAGATGCTGGTGTAAGCACAGTTTAATAGAGTTTGGGGATTTAGTTTTTCTTTCCTGTCTCCACATTAAAGTCCGAATATTTACGTGGGTTTCATTTGACCCACTGTTAGAAACTCATTGCTTCTGTTGCAGTCTGGGTGTGTCTGGGAAGTTTTGTACAAGCATTTCACTGCTCTTTGTTACAAAGCAGGACATTTTTCACCATTACAGAACAAGGATTTTATGTTGTAGTTGTGGCAATTGCTGTGGGTTTGTGTACGTGAAGGAGAGTGGCCATTCTGGAGGTAAGAATGCCAGTCTGTCCCGTCTTACTGGGAGACGAAGCCTTCAGGAGCCAGGACCTTTAAAAGTCACATGCTGAGGATTCCTGCAGTAATGAGATCCAGATCAAGCAGAACAAGCTGTAGTTAAAGCCATCCTTCTGGCTGACATGAAGAGGTGGAGTAACAAAACAGGCCTGCACTTAGTTCCAAACTCGTTGTATAATTGCAATTTATGAAACTAGTGTAGAGATTCTTGGATTTGGATACTAATAAAACATTTTTAGCAGTACCATCAAATTGCTTTGGCCCAAGTCTGACCGAGCCTGACTTCATGTAAGCACACTGGCAACCCCTCCCTTACTGTATGTTATTGGGGTTTCACAAGCAATTTGTTTCTGCAATTGTCAGTGATGAGTAGCATCCTCCCTGTGACTCTCCCCGGAGGAGAGTCACAGCATTAGTGGGAGGCTTCACATCAGATGTCTTCAAGGCAAAAAGTAACGTAACCCACCCACAGGAGTGCTCGATTTTTCTAGCTCTGTAACTGAGAGTCATGGGGTTTATATTTTGATCTCTTCTATTTGTGCCTTTCTGCAGTGAGGATGAAGTCAATTGGCTCTTTTCCAATTTGTACACTTCTGTCGTACTCACCCATTGCTATTTTTCACCTAAAAATATAGATTCTTATTGTTTCTTGTTCTTATGTAAGAAAATATCTCTCAATATAAAACTTTCTGTCAACATTTCACAGGAAAAATCTGTAGTGGGGATTCTGTTCACTACAAGGTTCAGTTGTGATCAGTCAGATGAAGCTGATGTAAGGGTCAACGGAGCGCCACCACTTCCAGATTTTCCCCATGAACTCATCCTTATGAGATGTTCCATCAATTCCCAAAACATCCAATTTACCTCCACAGAGGGCCAGAGCTTGTGCTTCCTAATTCCATTAGCTATGATCAAACATGAATACTTGTTAACAGCCAAATAAGCTAAAAAAAAAAAGAAGAAGAAGGGATTACTTGGCCTCTGAAACAGAACACATGCGTTGGAACAACTCCACGACAGCTTCTCATTGTAATTTGATAGAGACGTCACATGCCTCTGACAATATTTTATCCACTGATGTTGACATAGTGACATTCCTTCACAGCTCGAATGATGAGGCTATTAGCTGGGCAGCAGCATGGCTAATCACGGTTGAGGAGACCTAATCGAGATGAGAAATTAATCCCAGTTGGAGGAAGATGAATATGAAATTTGCAAGCCATATCTTAATTGGAGCCAAGCTAAGTTAAGGAACAGGAATGCACTGTGGTATGCTTTCTCCTGGAAGGATCCCAGGTGGTTAATATTCCACAGTGAGTTGGAGATTATAAAGGAATGTGTGTCTGGTTCAAATGTGTTTGATGTGGCTCACACTGTCATCAGTATCTCTGTTGCTCTTAAACTAAATTGTCAAACTATGTGCAAAAGATGACGATGCATAACTTAATGAAAAGAAAAATAGCATGTTTTAGGTAAAGAGTTGTGTTGTTTATCAAAGACTGTTTGCTTCTGTCGTACATGTGTTGTAGGCTGACTCCACTGAATATGTTAGTATTGAAACGATCAAACTAAAGCGGCCTTTTGTAGGTTTTAGATTGTCAGTGTCATCAAGGATGTTAATGTTAACTCCGTGTGTTTATCCAACAGATGAACCTCAATTAGTTTCAATAGCAGGGACTCATTAAACACATTTCATATTATATGGCTCCACCTGTTTGGTAAGTGCTGACTGTGTCAGTAATTTCTGTTTTTGGAGTAAAAAACTTTCTCCTGCACTTTTTTTGTTCTAAAGAAAGTTCTGGCTAAAACTCCAAGAAACTAAACATTTTCTAGATGAGCTGTATTTGCCCTTCATTCTCTAATAGCTTGTTTGAGATCAAATCTTTGGATTGGATTCAAAGTAGGTCTTGGCTTTCCTACAAGGTTGCCCCTGCTAAGATGGGTAAACGAGGGTGTCTCCCATTTCTGTCCTGTGTTTTTATCCTGTATCCTTCCTTCTACACATTCTCAAGTTTTCCATCCTGCTAAGTGAGAAAGTGTGGTTGTCTGTAAGCAAGTCTCCTGAGAAGCTGGCAAAAAGCCCTCAGGCCTCTGATTGATGGACCAAGGCGCTCTGTCGTCTTAGAAGAACAGCCTAAAAACTGGGAGGTCTACAGATACATTCCAATAAATTCAACTATTAAAGATTTCTGGACCGCTTGGGAGCACAAATTACCTGAATTCACATCTCCCGTCTCAGTTTGCTGGTTTTCCCACCCTTATGTTTCTTCTTTCAGTGCCTATAGGCTGTCTTTTCATTCATATTAAGGTTCAGGGCTGTTTATTGAAAAAAAAAAGTATGTTTATATCAAAGCAAGAAATAAAGGATTTCTCCTCATTCAAGTTAGTACATCACATGCAATCATGAGCCCCTGAAGGAATTTGAATAACACTTTCAGGTCAGAGAATGTAAGCAAATATTATTGAATATTCCCCAATG